CGCCCCAGGGCGCCCCCCGGCGGCGGGGCGGGATGGCGCCCGCCGCGAAGCCCCGTCGCCGGGTCCGTCCCTGAGGAAGGGCCCGAGGCCGGGGACGGCACCGAGCCCCGGGGAAGGCACCGAGCCCCAGGGACGGCGCGGCCCCTTCAGCCCGGCCCCTCCAGGCAGGCAGGGAAGGGTGTGGGGGAGGCTGGGCCAGGAGGCCTGTGAGAGGATGGGGAGTTATTTGTGGCAGGCGGCCTCACTTCCTTCCTCCCCCCCTTCCCTCCGCCTCAGGGACTGAACGTGGACGCAGGAGCACGGCGTCCCGGCCAAAGGGTTATTTTAGTGTTGGCATCTCTCATCGCTCCACGGCCTTCCCCACCCACGGGACAGCGCCGTCCAGGAAGTGCCCGGGAATAGCACTGCAGTCCCGAGGAGGAGGAGGAGGAGGAAGGTCCAGCGAGCCGCGTGGAGAACCTACCTCCGAGTAGGTGACACCAAAGGCCCCTGGATACTGGGTCATCAGAAGATTGCATGGGCTCCCTGTCCTCCCCCGGGAGAAAATCCCCCCCCTGAAGGAGCCATGTCCAAGGAAGCGGCTGAATTCCCATGCGAAGAGCGTCCTCCGTAAATTAACTTCTCTCCCAGGGGAGGAAATGATACGAGTTTCTTTTAATAGGACTTTGATCTCTTGGGCTCCACACAGAACCGCTTCCCTCGCTGGGATCCTCCAGCTGTGTGGTAGAGGGCAGCAAGGATTTATAAGGCAAACACCTTTTTTTAACTCTGCCAGCACGCGCGGGGTGAACAATGTTAATAATAAACTTTCAGGCCTGGTCTGCGTGCTGCCTGTGCAGCTGTTTTGGGGAGGGAAATAACTTTTTTCAATTCTCATTTACACTGATTCTACTGCAGGCAGGCTTTTACCGGGGTAATTTAATAGCTATTCCCCTGCGTTTGCAGGAATAAGTCATAGGATATCAATACCTTCTTATTCATCTAACAACCCTCCGCGGGAGGCTGGAGTACTATAATTACGCAGCTCTTGGTCATGTAGGACAACTTTTCATAAGTCAATACATGTGGAGGTATTTCAGTTAATATCTACGCATACATGCCTATACACCCAACACAACATCACTGTCAGTGATAGACCTGCAGAAAAAACCCTTCAATTATTGACGAATCACACTGAAAACACCATCAACGTGCACTTTGTGCACAGAGATTCGGAAACCACGGACTGGAATCCTTGTACACTGATGTTTACGCTACAATCTGGTACTGACACTGTTTCCTCTTCCAGTTCTCCGTTTCACAGTCGGGGCAACTCGACACACACTCTGCCATGCAACAGAGAAATGTTTAGGACGTGCCAGGTACACGTGCCCAGGATGCACTTACTTCCATCTTTGCGCACGTCCTCATTAACGTGTGCTCGTTTGCTCTCTTCGGCTTTGGTGTGTACACCTTTCCCTCAGCCGGTTTCATCCAAGAGGATGCACAGCTTTTCTCCAGTCTTGAAGAGAGCAAAAAATCAAAAGTATCGCTAAAATTAGAAGCGTAAGCAGCCATTGCTATGAAAATATGGGCAAGGAAATATCTCAGGAGCCCCTCAACTCCTGGTAACAAACACTAAGCACTGGTCTCCTAGCATTAGTGACAGTGGCGTACGCTTTTAAAAAGAATAAATTTAAAGTATATGCTGTTATCCTCAGAACAGGTTTCTAGATTTCTTCTTGTTAAGCATGAGCAACTCGGGTGAAAGGGGAATTCTTTCCTTTGGATTTTCCAAAACACGTACAATGCAAAGGACTGTTTACCGACACCTCCCAAGTCATTCCACTGATGCGCAGCTTTTTGTCTCTGATAAATAATTAACATTTTCCTTTCCAAGAGAGAAAATTAACCTGAAAATGAGGACCAGAGGAGATGCACAGCAGACAACGGCCCTGCGGCAGCCCCAGCCCGGGCACACGTGACGGTCCTGTCGCACCATATTGGTGCGTGTTTGCTTGACTTACCGGAGCAGGCGGAAGAGCAGGAGACACGCTCCCTACGTGCCGAGCTCCTGCGCCGCGGCAATCCTCGCTCTGCCCGCCGTGCCGCGTGTTGGCCCGAGAGAGACTTACGCACTGGGAAGAAGATGCAAAACCGCATGCAAAGTCTGGGTGACTACAGCTGCGCTCCAGTTTGCGGAGCTCACGGATACCTTTAGGAGCGGCGGTTAAGCAGGCGTCTGCGTTCGCTATATATTCCGCGCGCTACAACTGCGGGGCATTTGGGACCTGTTCTTCCTGATCGTGGTACCCTTCCCATGGGGGCAGGGACCTGCCTCCACTCCCAGCAGTCCCTACAAAGACAATGAAATAGTAATATAGAGCCAGGTGTAAGTTAAGGCAGCAACTTCCCCCGAAAGACAGTCTTTTTATTTAATTGCCATTTATCTTCCCGGATGCTAGCAACAGGGAACGCGGATTCTGGCTTTCTACTCGCAATGAAACTTTGCAATTCGCTTTAGTGTTGAAGGCGACCCACGAGGTCAGTGGGATCTGGGGAACGGAGGCGCAGAGGGGCACAGCCGCAACCCCTGCCTGCTCCCAGGCCGGCTCCTGGGGCACGGCCGTGCTGGCCTTCCCAAGGCCAAGGGTCAGACCCTCCCGGGCTTTTTTGGGGGGGGGGGTCGCAGACCAGCAGGGCTGCCCGGTCCGAATCCGAAGCCCGGTGACTAGCGCTCCTAGGCTGCGGCAACGATAAAACCGGGCAAGAAATGCCGGAGGCGCTGCCAGAGCCTCTTCCCTTGCCAGGGGCTTCGCTCGTCCCCGCCGCCGCTCGCCAGCGCGGGCCCCGAGCGAACCGCCACGCACCGGAGGCTCCCGCGCCTCGCCCGAGAGCCGCCGCTCCCCGCGGCCTGCGCGCTGCGGCTCCCGGGGGAGGCGGAGGCGGAGTGTGTGTGTGTGTGTG